ACAGGAAATATGTCGGTGAAACAAAAAGTTCAAATCTAATTGAAATTTAAAGTGCCCATGAACTGACTGATCATGCACGAGTGATTCTATTCATAAAAAGTGTCCGTGTAACAACTAAAAAGTGTCCGTGTATCATCTTAAAAGTGTCCGTGTAACACCCGTTAATGTACTGTTTTTCTATAGCTCTGCTGGGGGCAAAGTCGTACAAATAGAGATGAAGGTTTTTTTTGAAAATTAATGTTCTTTATTCTAATATATTGGCTGTATCTGCCTTTTACAAATAAGACAATAACATTAATTGAAAAAGGAGACGTGGAATGGTTTTCACTGAGAGGACTTTAAAACAAAGTCCAAATGAAATAGATTTGACCAACTATTGGTTACTATACACTTCACAATGAACAAAACCCATACCGTATTAAAATTGCCTGATTTATGACAAAATCATAAACAAATATGTCAGGCAGCAACTTACGACAGCCGCTATATTACATGTTCCTGACCAGGGACAGACACATATATATTGAGGCGGGCTTAAACATGTTTGTGAGCACTCAAACCTCCCTTAACATGGTGCCGTGGTGTAGCAATACAACATTTATTTTTTGCAGAGAATGATAACTCATTTATATTTCATTTTATCTAAAGGTTGAAAGAGAATTCATTCACTTAATGGTTCTAAATATTCAATGCGGAAAAATTCTCTTGCCATTACCTCCTTCCTTCCCTCCACCCACAACCCATCCCCGAAATCTTCATCACTTATATGCAAATGCTGACTAATGTTGTATGGTTAAAACATTTGGTTGAGGCAATCTAAAGTTTGAGAACAGAAACGACAGCTTTAGCTTTTTTTCATTTATAAAAGGGCATTACTCAAGAACGGTAACAGTGACGCTACCCAATTTATAACTTGATCTGTGTTTTGTGGTGATAAGCATTTCGTGTAAGTTTTAAAACATTTGGTTAAGGCATATTAAAGTTAGAGAACGGAAACCAATTATTGGGACTTTCTGGACGGACGGGAGAGACGGGTCGGACGGACATGGGTAACATTTAACGCTACGTCAGGGCAGAACAACAGGTCAGTAAAACAGTGACATGCCTTTCCGAAAGTTACAACATTTGCCAGCTTTTGTATATGCCGTATTCATATTGTATACATCAGGTATGTAAAAGATGTAATAGGACTGTGTTCAAGCCTTATATTGTGTATACATCTTAAATGGTGTCAAGCGAATTGTATTTTTATCAAATGCATAATTAGATATTTGAACCTAATACTTTATTTTCTTTAAAAAGACGGCAAATAAATATTTCGAAATTAGCAAGTTGCCATACAGTTGAAAACAAGTTGCCATCAAGGACGTATATTAGTTAGTTATACGTCCTTGTTGCCATACAGTAAATTTGTCAACATGAGCAAGTTGCCGTACCCTAAACTTTATTTTTTATGGTCTATATTTTTTAAAAACGTTCATTTTGACAACAAATTTCAGTAAATATGATGCCACACTATAATAATCTAAAAAAGTGTCTGGAAAAATAATGAAAAACAGTTGAATATCTTGCCAATGGGGCGACAGAGGACGATCGACCTCGAAATTTCCAGGTACTAAGTGGCAAGTTCTTGAGTATAACACAAAAATCTTGTCTTAATTTTGTACTTATCGGCCTAATAATTTAAAGAATTACATATCAGAAAATCATTTCTTAAGCGGTACTCTCGTCAAATCAGTAGAAATGCTTTAAATCGAATGAATTCTTACCTTGTTTACTTTTTTTTTCCATTTCTCTCCGCTTCGTTAGTACCCAATTTCCGGTGGCGATGATACAGTGATAAATCTGAATGTTAACTGTAAAAAAACTAGGTCCATTTATCAATCAAGGTTGCACTTCTATAAATATAGACAATGCAATTTCCCATTACGATATTCGGAAAATCAGGAATCAGAACATTATTTTGTCATCTGCTTGACACAATATATTTTGTCTCATAAAATTGGGGATCAAAATATCTTTTTAGCAAAAAAACCATAACCCCTCTTTTAAATTTAAATGGTCAATTCCTTAGACTACTGATATGAATAGTAATTTACTGGAATTGTTTGAACACAATATAGTTATTGATGCTAACGTAAATATGTTAATTAAAAAGACAGGAAATATGTCGGTGAAACAAAAAGTTCAAATCTAATTGAAATTTAAAGTGCCCATGAACTGACTGATCATGCACGAGTGATTCTATTCATAAAAAGTGTCCGTGTAACACCCGTTAATGTACTGTTTTTCTATAGCTCTGCTGGGGGCAAAGTCGTACAAATAGAGATGAAGGTTTTTTTTGAAAATTAATGTTCTTTATTCTAATATATTGGCTGTATCTGCCTTTTACAAATAAGACAATAACATTAATTGAAAAAGGAGACGTGGAATGGTTTTCACTGAGAGGACTTTAAAACAAAGTCCAAATGAAATAGATTTGACCAACTATTGGTTACTATACACTTCACAATGAACAAAACCCATACCGTATTAAAATTGCCTGATTTATGACAAAATCATAAACAAATATGTCAGGCAGCAACTTACGACAGCCGCTATATTACATGTTCCTGACCAGGGACAGACACATATATATTGAGGCGGGCTTAAACATGTTTGTGAGCACTCAAACCTCCCTTAACATGGTGCCGTGGTGTAGCAATACAACATTTATTTTTTGCAGAGAATGATAACTCATTTATATTTCATTTTATCTAAAGGTTGAAAGAGACTTCATTCACTTAATGGTTCTAAATATTCAATGCGGAAAAATTCTCTTGCCATTACCTCCTTCCTTCCCTCCACCCACAACCCATCCCCGAAATCTTCATCACTTATATGCAAATGCTGACTAATGTTGTATGGTTAAAACATTTGGTTGAGGCAATCTAAAGTTTGAGAACAGAAACGACAGCTTTAGCTTTTTTTCATTTATAAAAGGGCATTACTCAAGAACGGTAACAGTGACGCTACCCAATTTATAACTTGATCTGTGTTTTGTGATGATAAGCATTTCGTGTAAGTTTTAAAACATTTGGTTAAGGCATATTAAAGTTAGAGAACGGAAACCAATTATTGGGACTTTCTGGACGGACGGGAGAGACGGGTCGGACGGACATGGGTAACATTTAACGCTACGTCAGGGCAGAACAACAGGTCAGTAAAACAGTGACATGCCTTTCCGAAAGTTACAACATTTGCCAGCTTTTGTATATGCCGTATTCATATTGTACACATCAGGTATGTAAAAGATGTAATAGGACTGTGTTCAAGCCTTATATTGTGTATACATCTTAAATGGTGTCAAGCGAATTGTATTTTTATCAAATGCATAATTAGATATTTGAACCTAATACTTTATTTTCTTTAAAAAGACGGCAAATAAATATTTCGAAATTAGCAAGTTGCCATACAGTTGAAAACAAGTTGCCATCAAGGACGTATATTAGTTAGTTATACGTCCTTGTTGCCATACAGTAAATTTGTCAACATGAGCAAGTTGCCGTACCCTAAACTTTATTTTTTATGGTCTATATTTTTTAAAAACGTTCATTTTGACAACAAATTTCAGTAAATATGATGCCACACTATAATAATCTAAAAAAGTGTCTGGAAAAATAATGAAAAACAGTTGAATATCTTGCCAATGGGGCGACAGAGGACGATCGACCTCAAAATTTCCAGGTACTAAGTGGCAAGTTCTTGAGTATAACACAAAATCTTCTCTTAATTTTGTACTTATCGGCCTAATAATTTAAAGAATTACATATCAGAAAATCATTTCTTAAGCGGTACTCTCGTCAAATCAGTAGAAATGCTTTAAATTGAATGAATTCTTACCTTGTTTACTTTTTTTTCCATTTCTCTCCGCTTCGTTAGTACCCAATTTCCGGTGGCGATGATACAGTGATAAATCTGAATGTTAACTGTAAAAAAACTAGGTCCATTTATCAATCAAGGTTGCACTTCTATAAATATAGACAATGCAATTTCCCATAGGAACTCCTTTTACGGCTAAAACTGTGCCACTTTAACTATGAAGTTTCGTAAAAAATTGTATCCTAGAATGGAAAGTTCATATGCACTACTATTTTTTTCAAAGGTCAAAATATAGGGCTGTGCGGCATATTTTCAACATTTATATGCCTCGAACTTCTAAGAGTTTAAACTTATACTAAAATTCTGTACTACCCCTCCATTCAATTTGGATCTTCCTCAGAATTCAATTTAGCCGCTATCCATGTGTATTTGTACTGGTAACATTCCCAAGTTATGTCTCTTTGAGATAAAAGATAGAGATCATATCCGGGAACCAGTAGGTAAACAAAACAAAATACCCGATCTATGAATATTATATATCTCCCCAAAAGAGGCGTGGTTTGTGAAACAGCTGTATTTACAAAGTGCAACCTACACTACTAAAAAATTAAAAATTTTGCTCTTGATACTTTATTTTGGTCATAAATAAGCTTGTGTCCAAATTTCATAAAATCATATGAAGGTTTGACCATGAAAGTATTATATTAACAATATAATACTTCCATGGTTTGACAAAGTTATTGATGACTGAAATTTTTTTAACCTCAGACTAAATCGGAATGTGAACTGTAAATAAAATGCTTCGCCGAGGGCAGACTGATACGACCGCAGAGGTCGAACCCTGAACAGTTGAAGCAAGTTTGGACACAATATTCAAGCTTGATACTGTCTGAATTTGGATTGTGATCAAATTTTTGACATAATATAGGTTTCTGACACAAAATAAATGTGGTCAAAGATCTTAAAAATTTGAAATGGGACATTTATTTTACCTAGTATGGTCTGATATCCAAAATTTAGCAACATGGTTAGATTCAGCATATTAAAAAACACCAGAGATCCAATTTGAAATTTTAAAATTATTGTCCGGAAACTACAATAAGTTGCTTCGCCGAGCGCAGCTGGATACGCCTGCAGAGGTCCAACCCTAAACAGTTGGGGCAAAAATGGACGCAATATTCACGCTAGATACAGGTCTGAATTTGGATTGTAATTAAATATTTGACACATAAAAGGTTTCTGACACAGAATAACTGTAGTCAAAGAACTTAGAATTGGTTATATGATTTGAATTTATATTCAATTTTTTGCTTTTGTGCAATACACTTTGCTGTTGCGAATTGACCCCCCCTCCCCCCACAAAAATAATAAAAAATTTAACCCCCTTCTTTTTTTTTTTGCTTTTGTGCAATACACTATGCCGTTGCGTATTAACCCCCCAACACACACTTTTTTTTTGCCAAAAAAATAATATATGAAGAATTTTTCTTTTAAATTTCTGAAATCTGAAATGAGAAAAAATTGACCCCCCACAATTTCTTTTTACCCCTCCCCCCTTTTTCCCCCCCAAAAAATCTTTCCCTCAAGATATGGTCATAATCTCAATTCAAATTTCCAATGGAGTTTGCAACCATAATTACCCATTTAAATTTACCCTAGTGCTAACTTAATTTATCTTATAATAGAATTTAAAATATGGTGTCAAATCTTTCATATGGATTTTTTTGTAAAAAAAAAAGATGCAACATTTGCAGGTATTTTTATTGGTCTTCTTTTATAAATATGCATTCTTTAAACATAATTTAAAAGCGGTGAAAGGAAGTTATCAAAACCTTGTATTTGGATTACCTCCCTTACACTGCTTTTAAATTGTCTTAATTGTTCATTAACCATTACTTTATACATAATTTAAAAGCAGTGAAAGGGTTGGTAATTCAAATGATGTATTTGAATTACCTCCCTTACACTGCTTAAAATTATGTTTTGTACTAAAGTATTTGTCCATTAACCAGGACACCCTTGTTTTTCCCCTAATTCCTAAACGGTTTGAGCCATAACCCCCAAAAGCAAATCCTAACCATCCCTTTGTGGTATGGAAACTTGTGGTATAATTTCAGAGAGATCCATACACCGTTCCACAAGTTATTGTCTGGAAACTAGAAAAATGCTTATTTTTGGCCCCTAATTCCTTAACTATTGGTACCATAACCCCAAAGATCAATCCCAACCTTCCTTTTGTGGTTTTGAACCTTATGGTAAAATTTCATAGAGATCCATTCACTTAAACTAAAGTTATTGTGCGGAAACCAAATGTATCTTCGCGGCATAAATGGTGCAGACTCAACAATAAAGGAAAAAGTTATCAATAAGAGGGTGACCTTCTAAAGTACATACACAACTGTGTATAGGTAGACCAATCTTAAGTACAGTGCTTTATGCCACATATAATGTGTGCTGAAATTTAGGACCTACTTTAGTTGTAATTTCAAGATGGTCACCACATCTGGCAGTCTCTCATTATGTTGTTGTCTTTATTAATGTAGAATAGTTTTAGAGATTGTCAACATATTTCTATGAGACATGCACATTTACTTACTTGGTTCTTATCAGGAGAAAATTCTAATAGATCAAGTCTATTTTTAGGTTGAGCAGAGTAAATTTAAATAAATGGAGAATGTATCCATGGGTAACAGATGATGACCCTGCTTGCATATAACGTTATAAAGGGGCATAACTTGAGAACAATAAAAGTGACGCCACCCAAGTTCTAACTTGATCTGAGTTTTGTGCTAATAATCATTGTGTATAAGTTTCATAACATATAGTTGAGTTAAACTAAAGTTAGAGAAGGGAAACTAATTTTTGGGACGTAATTTTGAATGGACGGACAAGGGTAACACTTTAACAGTGGCGGATCCAGAAATTTTCATAAGGGGGCTCACTGACTGCCTAAGAGGGGGCCCGCTCCAGTCATGCTTCAGTGATTCCCTAAATAATCAACCAAATTTTTCCCACAAAAGGGGGGCCCGGGCACCCTGGAAACCCCTCTAATTCATCCTCTGCTTAATGCCCCCTCTGCTACAGTGGGGGCATAAAAATTAGGTCGTTTCCTCCTTACTGTAAAGCCCAGTTTTGATTGTTGATAAAATAGCAGTTAAAAATATAGGAATAGGATTTGTTGAGCATTTGGAAGAGCCGGCAATGAAATGTCTATACCTATAAGGACACTTATGTATTTAGGTATCCAGTAGGGGAAAGGTTAGGTCCAGCTCTTCATCTTTAGTTGAAATTTCAAAGAATAATAAGTAGACCTCTAATAAAAGCCTTCACTCTTTTCATTCCACAATAAATTTTAGCACTCACAAAATAAAACTAGAGGCCATTAAGGCCAATGAATTGCTGATCTGGTATCTGTGCCAAATGTCAAGAAATTCAACTCTGATAAAAAAAAATCCTTTTCCTTTTGATCTTCCAGAGCAATTAGCACTTTTACAGTATTTTTAAAATTATTTTTAGTTGTTTTTTTTGAAATTTGAAATGAACAAATAAGGATTTCTTTTTGTTCAATCTGAACGAAATGCAAGCTTTCCATAAGTTTTGGTCTGACTGACAAAGAAGTTTCAGAGAAGGTAAAGAAAATGTGACTAACCATAGTGTTCAATGCATACCAATGTGACATTTTTTGCTGCAATGTATGTCAATCAATCAACACCAAATGAGGAATCTTCGTACATAACTTCTGATTAGCTTGTTTTTGATTGGTCAAATACCAAAAACACTAAATATTCCATTTTTTTAAAACTTGCTGAACCTCTATGAAGCCACAATCTTCAATGTTCAATGAATAGGAAAGTAAAATTACTTCCATTTTTCATAAATATTAAACTAAATAAATATTTTCTATATCTAAACAAAATACAACTAACAAACAAAAATATTTAACATTTTATGTCTTTATTAATGAAAATTTAATGACACATAATGATTGTATATATATATGTACATATGAATACACGCTTTCAAAAAAACTTACATCTTTTGTCATAACTTTACAAAAATACTTAAACACATTTCTTGCATTGCAAATCTAATTTGTGTCAACACAAGCCAATATATATTTGACACTAAAACTTGTATTCTCTACAAACTCTCACACAAAGGACAGTTCTGAGGTGTCTAGAATATTTCCTTTAAAATATTTGTATTGTTTTCAGTAGAGGGTATAAAATTGGGCGGATCCAAAACAAGAGGCTCATAGGAGCCTGAATTGCTCACCTTACTTTTAGGAGTCAGTCCATGGTTTCTGTCATGTTGGCATTCTTACAGAACTTGTATACCCATCATTTTTCCTGCTAACAGTTACTACCTTTCTATTATATTTTTCAAGATAAGAGGCAAATGTACATTAATTAGTTAATATAAAAAAAGAAGAATGTTTCCATGGGACACAAATGCCAAGTATGGATACTACATTCAAGCTTGATACAGCTCTGAATTTGAATTGTGATTAAATATTTGACACAGTATAGGTTTCTGACACATAATAAATAAGGTCAAAGAACTGAAAATTTTGATATTGGACTTTTACCTATTATGGTCCAATATCCAAAATCTAAATACACGGTTAGATTCAGCATATCATAGAACCCAAAGAATTATCATATCAAATCAAACAAAGTTTAATTTTCGACCATTTGGACCTCAATGTGGACCAATTTGATAACAGGCCCCAAAATCAAAAATCTTAATACAAGGTTAGATTCAGCATATCAAAGAACCCCATATTTTCAATTTTGTTGAAATCAAACAAAATTTAATTTTGACTCGATTTGGACAGATTCAAGAATTGGTCAAATAACTGAAAAATTTGAAATTGGACTTTTACCTATGATGGTCCAATATTCAAAATATAAATACAGTTAGATTCAGCATATCCAAGTACACCAAGAATTTTGTACCCTTTGGAGCTCAATGTGGACTAATTTGATAACAGGGCCCAAAATTCCAAAATCTAAATACAAGATTAGATTCAGCTTATCAAAGAACCCCATATATTCAATTTTTGTTGTAATCAAACAAAGTTTAGTTTTTGACCCCAATTTAGACCAACTTGAAAACTGGGACCAAAATCAATCTTTGATTTCAGCTTTAGTTAAAATCAAACTAAGTTTAATTTTTGACCCTTTGGACCATAATGTGGACAATTTGAAAACCGGTCCCAAAATAAAAACTCTAAATACAAAGATAGATTCAGCATATCAAAAATCCCAAGAATTCTTTTTTTTTTTAAATCAAACAAAGTTTAATTTTGGACCTTGTGGACTTATTTGAAAACCAGTACCAAAAATAAAAAAATCTAAATACACGGATAGTTCAGCATATCAAAGAACCCCAAGAATTCATTTTTTTTATAAATCAAACAATGTTTACTTTTGAACCCTTCCGACCTTAATGTGTACCAATTTGAAAACTGGCCCTAAAATTAATAAAATGCTCCGCTGGGCGCAGCTTGATACGACCGCAGAGGTCGAACCCTGAACAGTTGGGGCAAGTATGGACACAACATTCAAGCTTGATACAGCACTGAATTTGGTTTGTGATTAAATATTTGACACAGCAAAGGTTTCTGACTCAGAATGAATGTGGTCTAAGAACTTAAAAAATTTTAATCTACCTATTCAAACCATATCATTATTATTTGCTTTTATATATAAATCAGAAATAACCAATTTAAAATAGAAAATTTTAAACAAAAAAAGGAAAAAAAAATCCCCCCCCCCCAACAAATGTTTTGAACCCCCTTATGATTCATCACCCCCAAACTCAATCCCAGCATTCCCTTTGTGGTATGGTACCTTGCAGTACAATTTCAGAGAGATCCATACACTTGAACACAAGTTATTGTCTGGAAACTAGAAAAATGCTTGTTTTTTGGCCCCTTTTTGGCCCCAAATTCCTAAACGTTTAGGGCAATTACCCCCAAACTCAAACCCAGCTTTCCCTTTGTGATATGGAACCTTGTAGTACAATTTCATAAAGATCCATACACTTACACACAAGTTATTGTCCTGAAACTAGAAAAATGCTTGTTTTTTGCCCCTTTTTGGCCCCTAATTCCTAAAATTTTGAGGCAATTACCCCCAAAATCAATCCCAGCCTTCCCTTTGTGGTATGGTACCTTGCAGTACAATTTCAGAGAGATCCATACACTTGAACACAAGTTATTGTCTGGAAACTAGAAAAATGCTTATTTTTGGCCCCTTATTCCTAAACGTTTTGGGCAATTACCCCCAAACTCAATTCCAGCTTTCCATTTAAGTTATGGAACCTTGTAGTACAATTTCAGAAAGATCCATACACTTACACACAAGTTATGTCTGGAAGTAACAAAAATGCTTATTTTTGGCCCCTAATTCCTTAACTGTTGGTACCATTACCCCCAAAATCAATCCCAACCTTCCTTTTGTGGTATTGAACCTTATGGTAAAATTTCATAGAGATCCATTCACTTAAACTAAAGTGCGAAAACCAATGTGTCTTCGGACGACGACGACGCCAACGTCATACCAATATACAACCGCAAAATTTTTTTTTTTAAATCAAAATACACGATTAGATTTGGTATATCAAAGAACCCCAATCATTCAATTTTTGATGAAATCAAAAAAAGTTTTATTTTGGATCCTTTAGACCTCAATGTGGACCATTTCAAAAACAGGCCTAAATTCCAAAATCTAAATACACTGTTAGATTCAACATTTTAAAAAATTCGTAAGGGTTCCGCGGAACCAAGTGTCTCGCCTACTTTTTCTGTTAATCGCAGGCTCAACAAAAATGAGGAAGTAAATCAATAAAAATATTCCTCTTGATACTATCTTTTGATTGTAAGAAGCTTCTGTCCAAGTTTGGTAAAAATCCAGGATAGTTTATGAATCTAATAAATGTTTAAAAACTTTAACTGCAGACTGACTGTAATGTTAACTGGAAGAAAACAAAATTTCCTTCTAGATACTAGCATCTGATCATAAACAAGTTTCTGTCCAAGTTTGGTACAAATCCAAAATAGTATAAGAAAGTTATTAAAATTTTAAAAACTTTAACCACAGAGTGAATATATTGTTTCCAGGCAGAAAATCTAAGTCCATTTTAAAGTAAAATACAAAAAAAATGGATTTATTTTTTTACAAAATTTCCTTCTAGATACTAGCTTTTGATCATAAACAAGCTTCTGTCCAAGTTTGGTACAAATCCAAAATAGTATAAGAAAGTTACTAAAATTTTAAAAACTTTAACCACAGAGTGAATGTGTTGTTTCCTGGCAGAAAATCTAAGTCCATTTAAAAGTAAAATAAGGAAAAAATGGATTTATTTTTTTACAAAATTTACTTCTAGATACTATCTTATGATCATAAACAAGCTTCTGTCCAAGTTTGGTAGAAATCCAGGATAGTTTAAGAAAGTTATTAAAATTTTAAAACCTTTAACCACAGAGTGAATATTTGTGGACGCCGCCGACGACGACGACGACGACATCGACGACGCCGACGGAATGTAGGATCGCTATGTCTCGCTTTTTCGACTAAAGTCGAAGGCTCGACAAAAACCCAAGAATTCAAGAAATAATCAATTAACGCAAAGTCTTAGAAAAGTATTGTTTTTGGCCCCATTTTCCTAAACAGTTAGCGCCATAACCCCCAAAATCAATCCCAACCTTCCTTTTATGGTAGGGAACCTTGTGGCACAATTTCGTAGAGATCCATAGACTTACCCCGGTATACTCATTTTATTGTCCAGAAACCAGAAAATCCTAGTTATATGGCATCTTTTTGGCCCCTAATTCCTAAACGGTTTGGGCCATAACCCCAAAAATCAATCCCAACCTTCCTTTTGAGGTATGAAACAACAAGGTACAATTTCATAGAGATCCATACACTTAAACACACGTTATCGTCCTGAAACAAGTAAAATGCTTGCTTTTGGCCCCTAATTCCTAAACAGTTAGGACACTACCTAGTGGTACAATTTCATAGAGATCCATACACTTATCCTCAAGTTATTGTCTGGAAACCAAATGTCTTTGGACGATGATGACGCTGACAACATCATAATATTATACAACAGCAAAAATTTTGCAGTCGTATAAAAAAGTTGATGGGCTCTGATTTTGGAACTTGTCAAATACATTGCTGATATAAACCCTTGATATAAAGGAGAAGTTCTGGTAAGGGCTAGTTTTGGCCTAAAATTCAAAATACATCTAATGAAAGATTTTTTACATTTTTAAACACTCAAGTGTCCACTTTAGTCGATTCAATTAGTTTATGTAAAAGATTTGAACTGATTTGGTCATTAAAGACGCTCAAATTCAAGCTTGAATATGAATAATCTATCAAATATGCCATAAACATCACTTTTCAGATGGTTTTTGTCTAAAATGGAAGTGGCCGCGTTCGTGTTCTGTCTCAAACTTTATACTAGTATATGTTACATATTATCATCAAATACAACATATATTAAAATATTAAGACTGAACACAAATGGGGCCACTTCCATTTTAGACAAAAACCATCTTTAAATTAGCACAAATGCTAAAATTGTAAAGATTTTAGTAATATTGCATCAATTTATTATGGTAGTACCTGATGCATGTGCATTGTATTGTCAAAAACAGCCCATATTTATGGAACAAATGTGTTCTACTTTCCAATAAATAGCTAAAAGTTTACATTTCAACAAATTCAACCTCAATGTGGACCAATTTGATAACAGGCCCCAAAATCAAAAATCTTAATACAAGGTTAGATTCAGCATATCAAAGAACCCCATATTTTCAAATTTTGTTGAAATCAAACAAAATTTAATTTTGACTCGATTTGGACAGATTCAAGAATTGGTCAAATAACTGAAAAATTTGAAATTGGACTTTTACCTATGATGGTCCAATATTCAAAATATAAATACAGTTAGATTCAGCATATCCAAGTACACCAAGAATTTTGTACCCTTTGGAGCTCAATGTGGACTAATTTGATAACAGGGCCCAAAATTCCAAAATCTAAATACAAGATTAGATTCAGCTTATCAAAGAACCCCATATATTCAATTTTTGTTGTAATCAAACAAAGTTTAGTTTTTGACCCCAATTTAGACCAACTTGAAAACTGGGCCCAAAATCAATCTTTGATTTCAGCTTTAGTTAAAATCAAACTAAGTTTAATTTTTGACCCTTTGGACCATAATGTGGACAATTTGAAAACCGGTCCCAAAATAAAAACTCTAAATACAAAGATAGATTCAGCATATCAAAAATCCCAAGAATTCTTTTTTTTTTAAATCAAACAAAGTTTAATTTTGGACCTTGTGGACTTATTTGAAAACCAGTACCAAAAATAAAAAAATCTAAATACACGGATAGTTCAGCATATCAAAGAACCCCAAGAATTCATTTTTTTTTATAAATCAAACAATGTTTACTTTTGAACCCTTCCGACCTTAATGTGTACCAATTTGAAAACTGGCCCTAAAATTAATAAAATGCTCCGCTGGGCGCAGCTTGATACGACCTTAAGTTTACATTTCAACAAATTTGTAAAAATTCTATATTTTGGGGCCAAAAAGGGGTCTTGTTGGGCCTACTCCTTTGATAAAAATCTGGCAAGAATTGTACAAGTGGGAGTGCTTTCAATGCAATTTTCTATGTAATCAATATTTCCAAGAGGCATAACTCTTTAAATCAAGAGCCTGAATCGCTCACCTGTAATTTTTTGCTTAAATCTTTCATCAATGATTATTTTTGCTTTTAATATATATTAATGAGTGGCTTAAAAATTCCATTGAGATGTTCTTTGTATCCGTCATATTTTCTTCAAAAGCAAAGATATACATTTTACCCCTATGTTCCATTTTAGCCATAGTGGCTATGTTTCTTGACGTACAAGAAAATAAAATACAAATTTTATACTAGATACTCTGAAACTCATTCAGCCCAAGTTTGGCTGAAATTGATTCAGCAGTTTCAAAGGAGAAGATTTTTTAAAGTAAGCAAACTAGATGAACAATGGTCATATTAACTTATTTGTAGATCTTACTTTGCTGAACATTTTTGCTGTTCACAGTTTATCTTTATCATTAATAATATTCAAGATAATAACCAAAAACTGCAAAATTTCTTAAAATTAACAATTTAGTGGCAGCAACCAAACAATGGACTGTTAGATTCGTCTGAAAATTTCATGGCTGATAGAACTTGGCCTAATGAACATTTTAACCTCTCATCAGATTTGCTCTAATTGCTTAAGTGTTTGAGATATATTAGCCAAAAACTGCATTTTACCCCTATGTTCTAATTTTAGCCATGGCGGCCATGTTTTTTGACGAAACAGAAAATAAAACGCAATCTTTATTCTAGATACCCTAAGGATCATTCAGCTAAAGTTTGGTTGGAATTGGTTCAGTGGTTTCAGAGGAGAAGATTTTTTAAAGTTAGAAAACATGATAAACAAATTGTGTAAAATTGTCCTTAAATGGCAATAACTCTTTAAGGGGTCAATTGACAATTTTGGTCATATAAAACTTATTTGTAGATCTTACTTTGCTGAACATATTTGCTGTTTACAGTTTATCTTTATCATTAATACTATTCAAGATAATAACCAATAAAATGCCCCGCTGGGCGCAGCTTGATACGACCGCAGAGGTCAAACCCTGAACAGTTGGGGCAATATGGACACAACATTCAGGCTTGATACAGCACTGAATTTGGATTGTGATTAAATATTTGACACAGCACAGGTTTCTGACACAGAATGAATGTGGTCTAAGAACTTAAAAATTTTTAATTTACCTATTCAAACCATATCATTATTATTTGCTTTTATATATAAATCAGAAATAACCAATTTAAAATAGAAAGTTTTAAAGAAAAAAAATCCCCCCCCCCCCCCCAAATGTTTTGAACCCCCTTATGATTCATCATCCCCAAACTCAATCCCACCCTTCCCTTTGTGGTATGGTACCTTGCAGTACAATTTCAGAGAGATCCATACACTTGAACACAAGTTATTGTCTGGAAACTAGAAAAATGCTTGTTTTTTTGGCCCCTTTTTGGCCCCAAATTCCTAAACGTTTAGGGCAATTACTCCCAAACTCAAACCCAGCTTTCCCTTTGTGATATGGAACCTTGTAGTACAATTTCAAAAAGATCCATACACTTACACACAAGTTATTGTCCTGAAACTTGAAAAATGCTTGTTTTTTGCCCCTTTTTTGCCCCTAAATCCTAAAATTTTGAGGCAATTACCCCCAAAATCAATCCCAGCCTTCCCTTTGTGGTTTGTACCTTGCAGTACAATTTCAGAGAGATCCATACACTTGAACACAAGTTATTGTCTGGAAACTAGAAAATGCTTATTTTTGGCCCCTTATTCCTAAACGTTTTGGCCAATTACCTCCAAACTCAATTCCAGCTTTCCCTTTGTGATATGGAACCTTGTAGTACAATTTCAGAAAGATCCATACACTTACACACAAATTATTGTCATGAAAATAGAAAAATGCTTGTTTTTGCCCCTTTTTTGGCCCCTTATTGCTAATTTTTGAGGCAATTACCCCCAAAATCAATCCCAGCATTCCCTGTGTGATATGGAACCTTGTGGTACAATGTCAGAGAGATCCATACACTAACACACAAGTTATGTCTGGAATTTACAAAAATGCTTATTTATGGCCCCTTTTTCCTTAACTGTTAGTACTATAACCCCCAAAATCAATCCCAACCTTCCTTTTGTGGTATTGAACCTTATGGTAAAATTTCATAGAGATCCATTCACTTAAACTAAAGTTAGAGTGCGGAAACCAATGTGTCTTCGCCGAAGGATCCGGAAATTTTTCCAGACAATTTCGGTCATTTTGAGATGTTTGAAAAGTTGTTGCCCCTTTTCAAATTGTCGATATCATCTTGACTATATTCATAGCATCAACGAATATGACGACCTTGTATTGCTGTTTCATCGCATTTACTAAGTAAATGTCTCACCATTACCATGAAGGAGAGTTTAGGGAAGGCAACAGTCTAAAAATGAAATGATTTTAATGACTCAAAATGGTTAATTTCTCAGACATTGCTTACGTTTCTTTCGATTTGACAAAAGTTAAAACCGGAAGTTTGCGATATTTTAAAGTACGAATAATTCCGGATTCATTTCCGGGATTTGTTTTGTTTATCAAATTGACAGGAAATCACCGGCTTTTTATGGCTTTTTTATTTTATTACCTTTAAAAGTGTTTGAATATAACAGATAATAGTTGCACTCGTTTAATTTAGCATGAAATCAATTTGCATTTTACGATTAAATATTAAATTTGCTGAAGACAATTTCACGCATGCGTATTACATATTAAATAAAGCACATGTGTTACTCATGAAAAAATACTTTTTTTCTACGTAAATTTAGATTTAATTTTTAAATCAGAATTGATGACTGTCTTTGATGAAAAGTAAATAAATAATGAATACACTTGTCAGGGAACTTAAATGTTTTAAAGATATTATTCTGAGCTTGTGATCACTGTCAGGTGTGAATTTAAACCACAGGTAAAAAGTGATTAGCGATCATTAGCCAATGTTTCCCGGAGGCATTGATATAGATATTAGGAGGGTCCTCCGGATTATCAAACTACTGTAGTGGCAGTTTTATTACAGGAAAGGGATTATAAACAAAAACAAGTGATCACAAGTGCAAAATGGCGATTAAGAAATCCGATTTCAAACATGGAGTCAATGAAATGACCGAAATTACTTCTGTAAAAAAATAAAATTTGTCCTTAATCCAATTACTCGTTTAGGACAAATAGTTTCATTTTAGGACATGACTGGCAAATATGACCGTTTCCGGACCCTTAATAAATAAATGACACTCTTCGGACAATGACGCCAACGTCATACCAATATACGACCGCAAACATTTTTTGCGGTCGTATAAAAACTGCAAAATTTCCTTAAAATTACCAATTTAGTGGCTACAACCCAACAATGGATTATTAGATTCATCTGAAAATTTCAAGGCTGATAGAACTTTACCTAATGAACACTTTTACCCAATGTCAGATTTGCTCTAACTACTTTCATTTTTGAGATATAAGCCAAAAACTGCATTTTACCCTTATGTTTTATTTTTGAGCCATGGCGGCCATGTTTTTTGACGAAACAGAAAATAAAACACAAATGTTATTCTAGATACCATAAGGATCATTCAGCTTAAGTTTGATTGGAATTGGTTCAGTAGTTTCAGAGGAGAAGATGTTTGAAATAGTTTACACCAGACGGACGACGTTTGAAATAGTTTACACCAGACGGACGACGACGGTCGCCAAGTGATGGCTAAAACTCACCGTTCCTTCGCTCCTTCGGAAAGGTGAGCTGAAAAATTAATCAGCTCTGTTTTTCAAAACTGTCCGTGAAATTACTGATATAAACCTTTAATTTAAATTTGATAATAATCTGTTAAGAATTGTACATGTGAGAGCGCTTACAATGCAATTTATCATATAATTAATATTTCCAAAGGACATAACTCTTTTAAAAATTATTGATCAGCTATGATTTTCAAACTTGACAGAGACATTGCTGATATATAACTTTGATAATAAATATTGCAAGAATTGTACATGTGAAAGCTCTTACAAGATAGGACTGACGGAGGGCCTGTATTTCTATGTCCACCACCACAAATCGAGTGATGGACAATAATAGACCAAATCACAAAAACTTAATATAGTCAAATGAACCATGAAAAAAGTCATGGTCAGATGAAATCTGCCAGTCAGAAGTGTACACCTTACAATCATTCCATGCACCAAATATTGTTGACCTATTGTTTATAGTATCAGAGATACAGACTTGACCACAAATGAAATATTCTTTTTCTGAAATGAAACCTTTGATTTTATTTGATTGGTAATAGATTTTTCTCAATTCATTTTGTGGTCTTAATGTTACAATAATTTGTGATTCTCCATAAAATACACAACAGGTTCAAAAACCTAATGAAACTGTTGAATAGTTTTGATCAAACATATAAAACTTTCTACCTGCTGCCAATATTCTTTGATGACAATAAGACTCTTAAAACTATGATAGGCATATGCTTGTCCTTTATTCTTCAGAACAAAAATTCTTCAACTAATTTAAATGCATGACAACAGCAAAGAATATTTCAAAGAAAAGTTGCTCGTCAGTAGAATATCTGAACAAAAAAACAAAACACATTGGAGATATAAGTATTATTAATATTTTCATCAATGTGAAAAAAGAGATTGAATGAAAACTTTTATCAAGAAAAACTTTTTTTTATTAAACAACTATATATATTGCTTGTTTGAAGAAATTTGTTAGAATTAGCATGTAAAAAAACAGGGGCGAACCAGGATTTTCAAAAGGGAGGCCCAATTTTATAACACTATAAATAAATCGCCAAGTGTAGCTAGTCAGACATTTTTTGGACGTTTTATGCTTAAAAATCATATAGATGGTGAGAAACATGTTTTTTTTTTTGGCAATCAAAAGGGGGAATTGTATGCCCTCTGTGCTCCCTGGATCCGCCACTGAAAAATCCTGCTTGTTGGACCTGTTGGTCTTGTTGAAGGTAAAATTTAAGATCATATCACATTACCAGGTATCGTCCTGAATATGCATGTAATCTGTTGAGTCTCTACTGGACAGGAAACTAAATATAATGTGGTATGTTTGGAGTCTAACGCAACAGGAAACTAAATATAATGTGGTAAGTTTGGAGTCTAATGCAACAGGAAACTAAATATAATGTGGTAAGTTTGGAGTCTACTGGACAGGAAACTAAATATAATTGGCCTGTTGAGAGTCTACTGGACAGGAAACTAAATATAATTGGCCTGTTGAGAGTCTACTGGACAGGAAACTAAATATAATTGGCCTGTTGAGAGTCTACTGGACAGGAAACTAAATATAATTGGCCTGTTGAGAGTCTACTGGACAGGAAACTAAATATAATTGGCCTGTTGAGAGTCTACTGGACAGGAAACTAAATATAATTGGCAAGTTTAAAGTCTAATGGAACAGGAAAATAATTTAATTGGCCAGTTTAGAGTCCAATGGAATAGGAAACTAAATATAATTGGTCTGTTTTGAGTCAAATGGAAAATGAAATATATATATGTTTCTTTGCTCTTTATCGAACTGATGAGTCAAGCCCTTTTCAACTGATTTTTATAGTTTATTCTTATGGAGTGCTGTAACACCACTGTTCCAGGTAAGAGGAGAGTACGGCACCCCCAAACATGTTTAACCCTGTCAAATTCTGTATGTGCCAAGTAAGGAGCCTGAAATTTTCGTTTGTTGTTTTGAACATTAAGCAGGTCATTAGTTTTCTTATTTGAATTGTTTTAACATTTTGTCATGTCAGGGCCTTTTATAGCTTGCTATGCAGTATGGATTTTGCTTTTGGTTGAAGGCCCTACGGTGACCTAAAGTTGCTAACATCTAACTCATTTGGTCTCTTGTGGATAGTTGTCTCATTTCCAATCATGACACATCTCTTTATCTTATACTGGCACAGATGTTTCTTATAAAACAATTGATCATAAAATTTTGATATTTATGAATATCATAAAAATAATAGTCAGTTAAAAAAAAGGCTGAGGGGTGTGGCCTCTAAAACAGCTACAAACTGACACAAAGCCACCCTAAAGTATGGGTAAAAACCCTAACTTGGGATATATTTTTATAATTTCACATTAGGGGATGACCATTTGATATTCTGGGGGGGGGGGGGGGGGGGGGGGGGGGGGGGCCAGGAGGATTTTGAAAATAAATAACTCAGCCTTGATAATCACAAAAATAAATGGTTTGTTCTGTGGTAGTTTGAAAATAAATTACCTGACTTGCAATGTATTGAAAATAAATAACTCAGCAGGTCTAATCGAAAGTATGAGATGGCACCAGATTCTTCATAAATTCATCTTTTTTCCATAAAAAAAAATCGGGAAACACTTCCCATATCTTTTAATAATAAAAGTATAAATATTATTTAAATATACTTGAAATGTCAGAAAATTGGTTTCATTTAACTTGAGGTTAATTGTCTCAGGAACACTTACCTCACTTTTATTAAATCAGGGCCGTAACTACATTGAGACAAATGCCTCATGTAGGAAATTTCAAAACCAAACGCTTGTCTCCATATCAAATTGTGTTCACCGTGAGTGCCTTGCAAGAAGCAAGTTCTGTTCTCCCTCAGACGTAGCCCCTGATTTTTCGGGATCAATGTTTCTTATATATTTGTGTTTTGTCCATTGATTGCCCTTCTGCATGTTCTGTATTCTGTTAGTGTTGCATTCATTTTGTAATTTAGTAATTTTATTATTAACTTGATCATGAGTTTAAAAAAACACATCAGCCACAGACTTAACTATGTGAATTACATTTTTGCTTTATCATGCATATTTGTCTTTTGATGTTGTCCCTAGAAACTTAAGTCTTACACTGAATCTATAACGTGATTTTGCTTTGAGACCAAAATATTGTCATAAAATTATTAAAACAGAACTTGCATTTTCAGTTTAAGAAAGGGTCTGGGGAACACCCAGAAGGCATGATTTTGCATCATTTGTTCTATAGCTTCTTGGGCCTTCAGCGGTTCAAAAACCCTTCAAAAAAATTTTCCCTCGCTCCGCTCGGCGAAACATGTTTGCCAATACTTTTAAAAGAGCCTTAGTTACAACCAAACTTTAATACTGTGTATGTATGCAATACATGTATATGCATTGGGGATTATAGAAGATTCATTTCTGCAGAGGTTAAAAATTAATTCTGATTAAATGGTACATAATGACTTGACTATACATGAATTATTTATAATAAACAAATAATTTAAAAATTGTATGTTTTCGAATAATATAAATATAGTTGTGAAAATAAATAATCAGTCCCTTGCTTTGATGAAAATGAAAAATCTTGCTTCAATAGTGCAGAAAATAGATAATCTGTCCTCTTAGTTTACAAAAATAAATAACCGATCCAAAACAAATCCTCCTGGCCCCCCCCCAGAATATCAAATGGTCGTCCCCTTATAATGAATATGTAAGTTTCAAGTTGATGTAAACACCATTAAACTACATTTAACCAACATTTTAACCTGATACGTCATGGATGCCCCCTACTATCATAGGCAAGGCATTAAAGTCCGTTTCCCCTTTTGCTGCTTAGACCACACTTTTAAACAAAAGAAAATCTAAAGATGTCAGATAAGACAATACAAAAAGTTTTTTTCTCATCTGACTGTATTCTCAGTAAAACTTCACACCTGAAAATATAATAGTATACCATTCACAATACATATTCATGTGCTGACGAGCCATATCTTCAACAACTTACATACATATTTAAACTCACAATACACATAAAACCTTTCATTACAAAATCATATTACACACATATAACTCACTTAACATTGCATTCTAGGTCATTGTTATTAAGAATTATCTATTGGATGTTTGGAGCTCCTGACCTGAATTTTATATCCAATAACAACCCTTTTATCATTCCTTACTATCAAACACTTGTGTAAGAATAGTCATCGCTGCTCTGCCTTGTGTTTCGGGGGTCGGAATGCTCCACTTTTACTGGTCTTAGTCTTTTTAGTACCTGTCTTCCAATTTCTCCAGCTGTTAACTCGATCTGATCTCGATTCCTACAAATGGATATTGAAATAAAAGTGATACATTAGTGAAAGGTTCTACAACATAATCAGACAAAAAAAAAATTGTTTCCAATCAAGAGATAAAGGAACAATAGCTATCTTTGTTGGAATCAAATCTTCTAATTTGAATAAACTTTCAACCCCTGCCCAAGCACATGCAAAATAATAACTTGCATACTATAAAATAATAAATGATTGAAAGTTGATCTTCATCAATGGGCTGATTGCCACTAGAATTGTGTACTTGATTATCTGTTAGCAATTTTAGCTTATATATGTGTGCATGTAAATTTTATTTACATTATTTTGTGCACTTGTTGGAAGTCCTTTGTCTTCAATTTTCAAATTTTTTAACAAAGGCTCTTCATTTTTTTCACAGTGAAATATTGAATCCAACCTCTCTAAAATGTTTTGGATTAACATTGTGCACATGTTCTAACTGTTCATTTACACCATTATGTGATTCCATTTAGACAAAATTATGAAATATAAATAAAAGGACTTGGTGATGTTGGGTAAACCAGAGACTTAAGTCTTAAGTAGTCTCAGGTTAAACATTACTTAAGAACGTATTTAACGACAAAAATTTTACAGTAAACTTGTAATAAATTGTTCAAAATTCATATTCTATCATCAGAATATAGAATATCACAACTGCCTCCTGGAACCCCGCCTATAAAAAAAAAAAAATAATCCCCATCCTCTCCTTGGATGTAATAAACCCCTTACAATATTTTGTTAAAATATTTTTTTGAAAATTATCCTAACTGTATTTCCCTTCATAAAGCAGAAAGAGTGTTTGATTGGTATTAAACGTCACTTTCATCACACTTGTGCTATTTCGAGGCGGTCAGTTTTTATTGGTGTGAGGAAGCCAGAGTGCCCTGAGAGAACCACCAACCTTCAGTAGGAAAGTCAATAAAGATTGAGTCAAGAGTACCTGGAAAGGGTGGAAATATGGCATATACCTTTCTGTAAATATCAAACTACATATACAAATTTATAAGAAAAAAGAGTCTCTAAAGAACTCACCTACATCTATGTACATCTTCAACAATGGAAACTTTTTGACCAAAACACAAAAGAAGGTAAAAAAAAATCTTCATTTAAGGGCAATCATATCTATAAAGAGTCTACTAACTATTTCAGCAAAATCTGACCTGTTTGTAGATCTTGTCTTGCTGACATTTTTTGTTATTTAAAGCTTCTATCTATCTTTCATAGTTTTCAAGACAAAAACATCAAAAATTGGTAAAAATCGTCATTAAAGAGCAAGAACTCCAATAGTTGACTAATGATTTTGCCCATGTTGACTTATTTGTAGGTCTTGTCTTGCTGATCATTTTTGCTATTAAAAGTGTCTATTTATCTATTAAAGTGTTCAAACACCAAAAATTGGTAAAAATCATCATTAAAGAGCAAGAATTCCAATAATGTGTAGAATTACAATTTCAGCACTGTTGACTTATTTGTAGATCTTGTTTTGATTATCATTTTTGCTATTTAAAGTGTCTATCTATTAAAGTTTTCAAGATAAAATGCAAAAATACTGAAAATTTGTAAATATCGTCATTAAATAGCAATAACTTTAATAACGAGTGACTGAAGAATTTTGCCATATATATAGACTTATTTGTAAAACTTGTCTAAGTGATCATTTTTGATATTTTAAGTTCCTATCAGTCTATTGTAGTTTTTAAGATATAAGGCAAAAACGAAAAAAAATTGGGAAAAAAAAGAATCATCATTCTACCAGTACCCTCCCTCTGAATCCACTAATGCATAAGGTTATAAATTTAACAACAGTACTTGGGGGCACTAGTATTGCCCTCAGTTTTAAAGGAAACTGGTGGTATTTTTTAAATATTCTAATTTCATTCATGATCAATTATGCATCAATGTTTTTTAAATCACAATCGCAAATATTCTACAAAGCTGTATTCTTCCTGTAGGTTAATCGTAGTATGAAATTAAAAGACAAATTTGCATCCCATTAAAAATCAAAAAAGTATATTTATATTGTTCCTTACAAACTATGACATGTCAAAACTATAACCAGCGTAAAAGTTGGGGTGGTACGTTTTAAAATCCTTGTACTTTTCATAATCTGGTATTTTATTATTTCTATCCACACATGCAGTAGAAAAATCCTCCCCAGCGTTATATTTTGATCCCTCTTTTACACAAACATGCATTCAATTCAATTTATTTTAGTAGTAACCATGAGAGTACATTTCATTGTGGCTCTACTGTGTCAATTCACGTGCACAATTACAATTGTTGTTGTATCTGTATCTTAAGCCAAAGAAATAGGACGTCACATTTTGTTGGTATTTAATATGGGAGAATGATATTGATGAAAGACCAAATGCTAAGCTTAACTGCAGTTCAATGTACAACATATTACTCATTTATGTCAGCAAATAGGAATCATCAATGTTTAGAAGAACAGAACCATTGTTTTGGCCATGAAATTTAACTCTGTTTAATCAAGGTCAATAAGGTTATAAATTGAACTACTTGGGGGCATTAGCATTGCCCTCAGTTTTAAAGGAAACTGGTGGTATTGTTTAAATATTCTAATTTCAGTTAAAGTAAATGTCCCAATAACAGAAAATCCTTGTTTTTTGGCCCTGAATTCATAAACGGTTCGGGCCATAACCCCCAAATTCAATCCCAACCTTCCTTTTCAGGTATGGAACCTTGTGGTACAATTTCATAGAGATCCATACACAAGTTTTTATCCTGAAACAAGAAAAATGCTTGTTTTTGGTCCCTTATTCTTAACAGTTAGAACAATTATCCCCAAAATCAAGTCCAACCTTCCTTTTGTGGTATGGAACCTTGTGGTACAATTTCATAGAGATCCATTCACTTATACTCAAGTTAGTGTCTGGAAACCAAATGTCTTCGGAGGATGATGACACTGAACCCGTCCGCCATACCATTATACTGTGGCAATTTTTTTTTAGTTGTATAAAAATTACTGAAATCTGACAATAACTCTGGAACAACAAACCAGAAAATAAAATAAAACTTTAACATGTAAGTTTTGCAAAATATTCAAAGTCGATGAACCATAACTGAAGGTACAGAGCCAAACAATCTCCATGGAAATGAGATGTGCCAATGCTAATACAACTTGCATACCAAATATCATTTACCTACCACTAGTGGTTCCCCATAAACTGACCTAATCAGAAACTAATAAATGTAAACTAAGCAAAAGTTTCAAAGTTTTATATATAATAGACCATGACTGAGGGGCGGGGCCAAATGATAATCTCCATGGAAATGAGATGTGCTAATGCTAATTTAACTGCATACAAATATCATTGACCCACCATTAGTGGTTCCCCATAATCTGACATAATCACAAACTAGTACATGTAAACTGAGCAAAAGTTCCAAAGTCAATAGACCATGACTGAGGGGGGCGGGGTCAAATAATCTCCATGGAAATGAGATGTGCCAATGCTAATACAACTGCATACCAAATATCATTGACCTACCACTAGTGGTTCCCCATTTACTAACCTAATCAAAAACTAATATATTGTTGACGCGGCCGACGCAGGAAACAGCATACATATGTCTCCTTTTTTGACTCCGTCAAGGGGAGACAAAAAATCAAAAGGGATTTTCCTATTGTTAATCCCAAAAATAATGTAAGATTTTGAGGAAAGCAATTCTTGCATACAGTAGTTAGTGTGATAATACCACATTTTTTCATATTTTTCAAATATTGCACCATTTCATACCAAGCTGTCAAAAAGTTATACCTCAAAGTTTTTATTCCACTCTTCTTTTATTTTCTTTTGTTCTTTTTCTGTTTCCTCTTCCTCTGCTTTTCTTTTCCTAAAATAAAAGACTCAAAAATTTAACTGATTGCTTTCTGGTGGAAATGGTAAATTTTTCATGACTGATTCAATATTTATTCCAGTATTTTTCTTTTTTTTAATTTTTGTTGTTTTAATTACTAACACAAAATGAATTTAAAAAAAAGATTTTTGCAACTGTAAATTCAAAGCTAAGGTCAGAAAGTATCAAAATACATTACAGATATTCCTATTCAAATGCAATTGCTTAATTGAGCCTGTTTACATGAGTTTTTAGACAAATGGATATATCATCTGTGATTGCATAGACCAATCTGGCAACTAAATTGTGGATTTTATCACACCAAAATATATGGCATAGTTTAATCCAAATCTCAGTTACAAACAAATTGTGAATTTCTATTTCACTTAACTCATGGGCATCTATCCAATATTGCATTGTCTGCTATAAATACAATTATTCCCATTTTAAAACAAGTTGCTTTCTATAAAAAAAAAAGAAATGCAATCGTGAACCTTAATGCCTGTTTGGTATATAAGATCAGATAATTGTTATATAAAGTTGCATGATTTTACCTCATTTTTTATATCAGATATAGAAAAACTGACATGGATTCTTAATGAAACTGCTGTTCAATGTTGGGCATAATTTTCCTGTTAAATAAATCTCCCATCCCTCTCTCTTCAGATAGATAACATTACAACATGCTAAATAGGAGGCAACCACTGTATGTTCCATTCTGAGGTGCTGATTTGGAAATTAGAGGTAGCTTCCAGGCTAAAGTCGACATATAAATAAACCAGTCTTTGTTTTGAACAAGTTTAATGAAATGAATCATGATTATTTGATTTTGTAGACAGTTTGAAAATAGTTCAAAACACTAAGCTGTATTCTTATTTGTTAATCCTGAACTAAAACCGTTTTGGAAATCCATTTACACTTGCTTATATGGTTTGGTCATTGGCTATCATATTCAAGATATGCGTGATCTCAATTTATTTAAACACAAGGCAACAAACTCCAATCAGGCTCCTATAGTAGAAAACTCAACTTTATTATTTCAATCAGTGTTCAAACAAATCTCACTTTTTCTTTTCATAACTTGTCCTTTTTTAAATTAACCAAAATATAATGAAGTTATTGATTTGTCCTTTTTATACGATTGTGTGACAGACAGAAAAAAAATCCTGTTTTTGCCATCGCTTATGAATAAAGTTTGCCTCAAATCCTTGAAAACGAATTGACGGAATTCCCAGAAACTTGCACTGATTCTTCTATAAGTAAGACATGAAGTTGTGAACCTGGTAATTTAATTTTTAGTCTGATTTTGTGTGTGTGTGTGTGTGGGGGGGGGGGGGGGGGGGGGGGGGGGGTCACATACCATCAAAGACATGGAAAATAAATGGGACATGTGTCCCATGGAATGTGCCCATGGGACACAGATGATGCCCCCAATTGCATATCATATAAATTTATAAAGGGACATAACTGAAGAATGGTAGAAGTGATGCTACCCAAATTTGTACTTAATCTGAGTTTTGTGGTAATAAGTATTATGTATAAGTTTCATAACATTTTGTTGAGGCAAACTTAAGTTACAGAACAGAAACGAAAAATTCAGCAATTTTTCCATTTGTAAAGGGGCATAACTCTAGAACAGTAAAAGTGACACAACCAAAATTCAAACTTGATCTGTATTTTGTGTTAATAAGCATTGTGTATAAGTTTCATAACATTTGGTTGAGGCTAACTAAAGTAAGAGAATGAAATGAAATATTCAGCAATTTTTCCATTTGTAAAGGGGCATAACTCCAGAACGATTAAAGTGACACCACCAAAATTCAAACCTGAACTGTGTTTTGTGGTCATAAGCATTTTGTATAAGTTTCATAACATTTGGTTGAGGCAAACTAAAGTAAGTGAACGGAAACCAACTTTCGGACATAAGTACGTACCTACGTACGGACGGACAATGGTAAAACTTAATGCCCCCTGTGCTACGGCAGGGGCATAAAAATATTTTTTTAATTGATAATAATAAAATGTTTCCTTAAAATTACCCATTCAGGGGCAGTAACCCGTACAACGGTTGTCTGATGCGTCTGAAAATTTCAAGGTGGATAGATCTCAACCTGATAAACATTTTTACCCATGTCAGATTTGCTCTTAATGCTTTAGTTTCAGAGATATAAGCCAAAAACTGCATTTTACCCCTATGTTCTATTTTTAGTCATGTCGGCCATGTTGGTTGGCAGGCAGGGTCATCGAACACATTTTTAAACTAGACACCCTAATGATGATTGTGGCCAAGTTTGGTTAAATTTGGTCTAGTAGTTTCAGAGAAGAAGATTTTTGTAAAAGTTAACGGACAACAACGGACGCCAAGTGATGAGAAAAGCTCACTTGGCCCATTGGGCCAGGTGAGCTAAAAATAAATCTGTCACTCAATTATAAATTTTGTTAGTTGATAATTACCACATGTTTGTTATCTTAATAAAAGGTGGAAATTATTGCATGAATAAATTAATAGTAAATACATTGTCCTTATCCAAATACATGTACAAATGTGTATATTTAGTTAATTGTAAAAATCTATTATACAAATTGTGTGTAGTTTTATAGGAAGAATAAAAATAGATTATTATCTAATGAAAATGACATTTGCAAATCTAGACCCCCAAACAGGATCAAGTAAAAAATATTTGCAAATTTGGACCCCCAAACAGGATCAAGTAAAAATTAAACATTAACACACACAACAAAAAGAAAATACCACATAACAACTGTGGCATCTACCTTCAAAACACACAACTTTAAAAAAAATTAGTTATAATGAGATTTTTGACAACTCCCGACTAAAATAAATTGAACAGATACAATCATTGATAGACTTATAATTTACACCATTTCTGTTCATAGGGAAATAACTCAAAATCATATGATACGAATCACTTTTGCTACTGAAAGGTCTACAACTCAACAACGAGAACAGCTAAAATCGTGAAAATTGAACTCGACCTTCATTTAGTCACAGGAAACAATATATCTAAATATGAAAAGATTTCAACAAAGCGTTTCCATGTTAATGAACGGACACTGTTTGGCAGCCGCCCGCCATACATCCCCAAATCAATAACTGATTTTTCTTTCAAAAATCCGGTTAAAAAGTATTGAACCAAAAGTATGGAAGGCGCCCTTGACTGTCATACTTCATTTTTTGTCTCATCCAGAAGCACTAAAGGCATTGAAGATTTATTTAATGTTTTTAAAGACCACATGTTTGTTTGAAGAATTGAGAACACATACCTGTTTTCTAGGGACCTATGTCATCAGATTTCCTTCAAGACCTTATTTTTATATGCAAGGGTAAAGATCTTGAAATAAAAGTTGTGTATGCAACACACAGAGTTCGGCTTGTACAAGTATTTGATTGTGTGGAGGGTCAAAGGGATGTAGGAATCATCTTAACCGTATTTTGTCGTGTATATTGTTTTAATCTTTATTATTGTATATATTCAAGACCGTTTTTTTTTTTTGTGATTTGTTTTCCTTCATTATTGACAAGAAATGATTGTAACAGGATGCTGTTACGAAGTCTCCCAAACGAAGCTCCCATAATTCGTAATTCCCAGGGTCGCCTGACATTGGGCAACGTCCAGTGAAAATTGGTTTGGTCCAGTAAAGTTATATGCATTAGTGATGCCTGGGGACTAACCCTGTATATCATTCAAATCATCTTGGCATGACAAACCAGAATATATATGGTTTAGGGGTGGGGATCTCGACCATTTACAAGATACTAGAACATTGGGGGTGGGGGGAACCCCTGGGGACTGACCCTATACATCATTCAAATGTTCGTTACATGACGAACAGGAATATATATGGTTTAGGGGTGGGGATCTCAACCATTTACAAGATATTAGAACATTGGGGGTGGGGGGAACCCCTGGGGACTGACCGTATACATCATTCAAATGTTCGAGACATGACAAAAAGGATTATATATGGTTTAGGGGTGGGGATCTCAACCATTTACAAGATATTAGAACTTTCTCAAATGGCAGGGGGTCGGGATGACCCCTGGGGACTAACCCTGTATATCATTCAAACCATCTTAGCATGACAAACCAGAATATATATGGTTTAGGGGTGGGAATCTTGATCACTTACAAGATATTAGAACTTTTTTAAATGGCATGGGGTGGGGGTGACCCCTGGGGACTAACCCTGTATTTCATTTGATGTGCTTTATCATGACAAACCAGAATATATATGGTTTAGGGGTGGAAATCTCGACCATTTACAAGATATTAGAACTTTCTCAAATGGCAGGGGGTCAGGATGACCCCTGGGGACTAACCCTGTATATCATTCAAACCATCTTAGCATGACAAACCAAAATATATATGGTTTAGGGGTGGGGATCTTGACCACTTACAAGGTATTAGAACTTTCTTAAATGGCAGGGGGTGGGGGTGACCCCTGGGGACTTACCCTGTATTTCATTTAATGGGCTTTATCATTAAGAACATTTTCAATTAAAAAGATTGTGTTTATCACAAACGGTTTTCAATTTATAATCATTTTAAAATTTTAAAAAATAAAATCCCATAGGGTTCTATAGTAAAACCCTCTTTTCTTTTTGCCCCTCAAAGTACCCCTTTATAAACCCCATTGCACAAACAAAACCCTGATTGCACCACTAGACATGTTAGTCTAACATATTGTGAAACCCTAAGTTAATCGGACAAGCGGTTTTGGAGAATGGGTGCGGACAAGTTCCAATTTAAAAGCGGCGGAAGAGGAAGAAGAAGAAGAAGAATAATAATAATAACAAGAAATGATTGTAACAGGATGCTGTTACGAAGTCTCCCAAACGAAGCTCCCATAATTCGTAATTCCCAGGGTCGCCTGACATTGGGCAAAGTCCAGTGAAAATTGGTTTGGTCCAGTAAAGTTATATGCATAAGTGATTCCTAAGGACTAACCCTATATATCATTCATATCATCTTGGC